AAATGATAGGAACTTCATGAGAACACTACTGCTAAAAGATCTAATCCATAAATATAAGTTCAGGGATGTATTTAGGTTTTCCCTTTAGGTAGGTCCAGTAAAGCTAATTTTTGATTAGACATCTCCTCAAGCTTCTCTTCACTTTTGTATTTTTTTTCTTTATTTTCTTTTCTCTTTTTCATTTGGATTGTTTTCAATCCTATATATTTTTCTCTTTTTCAAGCTTCTCTTCACTTTTGAGAATTTAGATTAATATTTGTTACATTATGTTCTTTTTCATTGTCGATAAAATCGGATCGTGCTTTTAATTTTTTTTTGTGTTACAATTTTGAGTCGGTAATTCCGATGCTAACCCTTCAATTGTTCCACGCACTTTGATACAAACCGACGCTAAAATGAAACAAATATACATCTGAAAATTGTCAACGCAAAAGTGATGTTAAGTTTCCGATGTTGATTCCGACGCAAACAATCAGTGTCGACCGATTTCGACGCTAATTGCATTGCCTACCTCGCTTTTAATATCAATGCCTTAGATGACGAAAATCCGACGCTAAACTCTGTTAAAGTCAGATTTTTCACATTTTAGCATTGAATTTTCTACATTTTAGCATCGGATTTTCTGACACTAAATGACATAAATCCTGTAGTGTTATGTTTGAAGCAATAAAATAAAATCAACAATAATAATATAGTATTAAGCAGGAATAACAAATATATTATAGTATCTATATATATCCCCAATATTTTATCATTTTAAGTCTCTCTAAAACAAAATTTTACTATAGCCATATAAAGATCATACCATAGTTCTAAGCCATGTAATGATGCACATGCATATGATGTAAGGCTAATTCCCTATTACATCATTATACAAACTAATGAGTTTAAAATAATGATTTACAGAAAAAAAATAAACATTTTATTTAAAACGGACACGTGTTTGAATCTCTAAATTAACAATAAAAATATTTAAATATTTTCATTAATAAGTTAAATTTAAAATGATTTTTAAGGGTTACAACCGCATGAAAAATAAGTAGCATAAATATTCATAAATTTCAAAAATTCTTCGGAGAAATATTTTTTATATTGCTTAATGATAATGTTTTAAAGCCTTATAATTTCTTATAAACATTTATGCGAGTATGTTTATATTTTTTAATGTTGAAATATATGAAATTTATATGTATGCCAAAAAGTGGAAGATTTCATTACAAATAATGACATATTAATCTCCTGATTAATTTTGTATTTTAATTATTTATTTAGCTGCTATAATAGACTTAATAGATCTTAAACTATTAAAATAATTATATAAATATTATTAATCCAGCAAAATATATTTTTTTAGTAATATTTAAAAAAATTAGTTTCATAATTTTAAAGTTTAAATTTTTTTTAGACATAAAAATTCTCTTAGGAATTAATAAAATCCCAAAATTAATTAAATAGTCAATTGTTTAGGCACAAATCAAACCATTCAAAGAGAATCAAATGGCAGAAAACCATGTTCTCATCGTCAATTATTGGAGCAGCATACTGCCTTCTCTAATCAGTGATCTACAAATGTGCATGATGCAAGATAAGATGTACATATAGATTTAACTTAAATCCTGTCAAACACAAAAAATGGGTTAGATAGACTTGGCGCTGCATTAAATCCAGTTTTATGCCAAACATGTTAAATGGATTTAAATGAATTTAATGTTAACTGAACCGAACACTAATCTGAATTTAATAGCATCTAGGTTTTATTAAAACTGATTTTACTAAATTCTATTTAACTTAAATCCTAGTTGCAGCCAAATACCCCTCTAAGCAGACATACGGCTCACTTATGTTGAGAAAAATCAACATAATTTTGAGTTAAATAAGATTTTAGTAATTATCACCCTAATTTAAAAGTTGGGCACAATCATCAACCCTACCACAATAGACCAGTAAATTCACCTTCTAAATCATAACAATGGACGGGGTATTTTCAAAGATTAGACATTATCATTCCCTTACGACCACTAAAATCTCTCTTTATATCTTGCATTCCCCTCTTTGCTAGTCTCCTTCTCTCTCTCTCTCTCTCTCTCTATCTCTGACTCTCTCTCTCTCTCACACACATATTCTCACAATGACTTTCACAACTCTCATGATGTGGGAGAGGTTTGTGGGAGATGAGCGTGTTGAGTGGTTTTCCTTTTGGCTATACTCTTCAATGAAGTCTTCATAGCTTTTCCTCAAGGTTTTGAGAGACATTTTGCATGTGTGTGGGTAACAATGTTGAATTATATAGATTGTTATATTTCATATATAACCCAAGCTTCTTTTATGTAGTCAAGTTTGCATGCATGGTGTTGTAATTATTAGCTGAAGATTAATTTGATTATCATAAAATGAGATGGTACCTTGATCTTTGTTGGTAAAACTTAGTTGCAAGTTGGTTTGGTTCAGAAAATTTTAAAACCTGGCCAAGTAGATTGATTCTTAAAAATGGAGACATTTACATGCATACCACTTAATTTTTATGTAGTTACATATCTAACAGCAAAACTTTACTTTTTACATTAATATAACACCGATGAATTGTTTCTGTCTGTTATGTCTCACTAGCCCTTCTGCTTGTCTATCATGATAAACTCATGCACCAGCAATGAATGAAATATATGATCTGGTAACAATGCAGAAGCAGCTGTTACGATACTTTATGTTAGATATGTGAATACATGGTAATTGAGCGGTATGTAAGTAAATCTACAAAAGCTTGCAGAAATCACTATCTTACCTCTATTGTGAATGAATCGAACATCAATCTTTCTCATTTGCAGCATGTAGGTTTGAAATGATGCAACTAGTGCTAGTGTCTTGTTACCGGTTCAAAGCATTGCTCCCAATGTTGCAGAAATACCACTCAATTCTTCTGGAAGATTTAGACACAGAGATACTACCACTCAATTTTTTGCTTGTTCAGATTTGTTACCGGTTCAAAGCATTGCTCCCAATGTTGCATAAATACCACTCAATTTTTTGCTTGTCTCAGAAATCTTTCTGATAAGGTGGTATGCATCTAAGACTAAAAGTTTAGATGTTAGACATGTGAATCTCTCAATATTCAGCTGATATATTTTTCAACCATGTTGACATTTGGGTTCAAATCAATATCAAAAAATACCAAAATATGAACAAGCAAAACAAGGTTGTGTTATCTATTATTTAATATTTTATTTATTTATGTATTAAACAATTGATCTGCCAAGTTATTTCTTCAATTGCATTATGTGTGCTGGAAAAATCTAGTTAGTCATGAATGTCAGATGTCTGAATAAAGGGCAGCGACATGATTAAGCTTGGAAAGTAGTTGCAGGGACATGGTGGTGATGGGAGCTTGAATGGAACCTTGGCATCCGCGGTAGACAAGTTTGTGATGGTAGAGGGAGAATTCAAGGATTACATCAACAGCTCATGCTTGTTTGGAGCACTGGGAAGATTCTTCTCATGATTTTTGAAGTGCAAAATTGTCCAATCTATTTGTAAATGATTTACAAATGACCTTAACAGGAGTACGTTGCATTGATTTCTGAAAGATCATTTACAATACCCGTACAATAATGCTATAACACCTTACGCACTTTGTATTTTTTGAAAGGCCGCTGCTATTTTGAATTTGCTTTGTTGTTTTAGAGATTGGTATGGAGAGCTTGGTGGAGAAAGATGAGATGTTTGGTGAAGATGAAGAAGATGAAGATGGTCGGGTCAGTGGTTGCAGCTCTGAAGCCTTCTCCACTTAAGAAGCTGGAAGCATCAGTAAAAGAGGCTGTGAGCGATTCTTGGAGCATGAAAGTTCATCGGGCTGTCCATTGCTTAACACCTCCGTTTCAGATCCAATAACTGAATGCGTTCAATTTGAAAAGATGAAGCCAAAAGTTTCAGGTACTCTATCTAAAAGTGTAATGCACCTTTAGATTGCCCATATCATGATCTGATTATGAATATGAAGTTTTATATGCATACATATCAAGCTTCATATAAAAGTTAAGGTGTTAGAGAAGTAAATGCATAGAATCAAACGGGAATCCCTAGCAAAGAAAGACCAAAGAGAAATTGCGAGAGCTCCGTGCGAGCTCAGTGTTTCCCTTACCCTAAAGACAGCTCGGTGGGAGGAGAGAATGTTGCATCTGGACTCAAGACGTAAATTTGCATCCGGAGTCCAGTAAAAATTGCCACCTGGTTATGAGCAATTTTTTACTGTAATACACTGGTTACGAGCAATTTTTAAAAGATATGGGTCTACTTGTCACGTGGCAAGTTTTCACTGGACTCCAAATACAATAATTTTTTGGTATGAGAGGGCTTTCTAATGATCGGTGTGGCCTCATATGAGAAATCGTGAAAGTGGTAGGTGGGAGAGCATTGTGCGGCCTCAGGTGAGATTATAAAAATACAAAAATATTAAAATAATCTCAAGCCGCCCATCAAAATTTTCAATGTATCGTCAAATTTTGATTTATGGTTCATTTCTCCGTGTTAAAAAAGTCTTTGCTTGGCCATAAAATTTTACTCAAGCTTGAGTGAGAAAAAGAAAAAAGCCAACAACAAAAAAAATCTAGTCAATACATCTAATAGAAAACTAATAAACACAACCACTGAATCAATATAGAATCGTCAACTCATAACCATTGAAATCATCTATCATAAAACATGATGCGATCAACTAATTCCATTAGCTATTAACTCAAGAGAATCAAGAGAATTGGTAATACTAAAATTCTACTTGATTTAAGCAGCATTAATATCTTTATACAGGACCATAAGAGCATATACAGGACCATTTTTATATCTAAATATTAGAAGATCCAGATTAAACATATACTCAAATTTTGGTTTGCCAAACCAAAAATCAGATTCTTCAAAATTATATACAAATCGCAAACTAATTCAAGCCGCAAAATTCAATATAGAAAAATGATTACACATATAGCCAATAAAAGATAAAATCATTAGCCAAGAGAGAAGTTTACAAGTGGTTATGAATAAGGTGATGGAATCAAAGAACTAAGACTTCACTAGGCGTAACAAATACATGAGGCTATCATCAATAGAAGATGAGTTTGCATACAAATGACTATTCTTCAAGCCAGCACTCAACCAAAAACCTCATCGTCCTCATCATCTACTATAAATTTCCTAGATCATAAAAAGGTTTACAGAACAATACAGAATTACAATCTTCAAAATTGTACTGCATTTATAAATTAATTCAAACTTTCATGTTAAACTCTTAACGTTCAAATGACACTAATTACTCAGTGACTGATATCAATTTCAGCCGAAGGTCATAAAACACCAAAAAAATGAGCACTGTAAGAAAACTTTTACAATTTAGCAATATCCAGCTGCACTTTTTCTTCTCTTTAAATGTTCAGAACGCTTGATTAACTGGAAACTTGTTAAATCCTCGTAAACTGCCTCTTATCAGCTCCTACATTCCTATATGGAATGGTAAAATTGCCATTAACTCGTCGCATCTTCTTCCTAAACTTGGATGCACTACTCTCCAAATTCAGATTTATTTTTGGGGGTGACCTGAAGCAGAATGATGCAGCGACGTCCTGTGAAACAAAGCAAATTTCCAATCAATCATATGCAGGCTTAAAAAACTTTTTGATTTTTTGAATAAAAAACTATATAATAGCACTCGTATTTATGAAACAAAAGCAGGAAGAAGTATATAATAGTATCATGCAGTAAACTCCAAGCACGAAACAGTAACCTTATTTCATTAAGAAACACATTTGAAAAATTTATTGACACAGCAAATAAAATCCAGGGAATGTCAAACAACCAAGTACTCAGAATAGAGAACTAGCAAGCTTCACTGTAAATTTTTCTGGAGAACCATTGAAAAAGAAACCTGATGTAGTTATATAAGCAGTTATCTTCAAGTACCTGAAGATTGAGATGGTGAACATTGAATATTAGCTTCATGGAGTGTGAATTGTATGCTAATATGTAGGACCTATATGCCTCTTTAGCTGACTGAAGCAAATAGTAGTTCTCCCCAACTAATTTCTCCTGCCGAATATTCAAAACAGTAAATTCCATATAAAATAATGTAAATCACAATAGAAATAAGTAATGTTGTGGAGTCTGAAACACCCACAGCTGTCGCAGAAGCACCCAGGTGCGGTGCATCAGCACTTGCAGCACACCCGTGCCTGCAGAGCATGGGCGCGACATGCCCGGTTCGGGTGTTTGCAGCACCCCCGCACCCAATTTTAGGCGCCTAGGCGCCCAACTCCCAATCACTCGACATGCCCACACGTCATTTCAATTCGGTTTAAAACCTCGCTTTCAAGCCACAAAAGTAATTCTCTCGCTTCATCAAAAAGGCTTCCGTAAAGTGAAAAAGGGTCACAATTCGGTTTAAAACCTCGCTTTCAAGCCACGAAAGTAACTCTCTCGCTTCTTCAAAAAGGCTTCCGTAAAGTGAAAAAGGATCGGAGAGAAGAACTTCAACGTGAGTTTCTTTTGTGAGATTGAAAGAAAGAATTTAGGGCGAAGTCTTGTAAGTTCATTCGATTGTAGAGAGGAGATCTAAATGAGTGTTTCGTAAATTTCATGGCAAAAATTTCTTGGTGGTGTAGAGAGGAGATCTAAATGAGTGTTTCGTAAATTTCTTAATTTCATGGAAAAAATTTCTTGGTGGTATGGCTCTGTGACTTTTTCCTATTCTCAGACTTTTCCACATTAAATCTTGATGGCTCTCTTTTTTGGAATTGTTTTGTTTATTGTATTGTTCGATTTTTATTATTTCAAATTTCTCAAATCACTGCGTCTATATTCTGCAGTGTAGTTTCGATTTCTAATTCGTCAAAGTATTATTTCAAATTTCTCAAATCACTGCGTCTATATTTTGCAGTGTAGTTTCGATTTCTAATTCATCGAAGCCTTCGTAGAAGCACAAGGATTTCCATCCCACAAGTGGTATCAAAGAGGAAAGGTCGCAAGGATTTCCATCCCACAAGTGGTATCAAAGAGGAGTTTAATTTGAGTGGGAGCAAAGGTCAACAAAATAAGATACAAAGTGGACAAGTTCAATGGATTGTATCAGAAAAAAACTACATTTGCCACTACAATGAATCACCAAAAAGCCTAACTCTATGGCTATGGAGCAATGGAAAGTACTGGATCGAACAACCTTAGGTTTGATCCGGTTCACTTTCTTCATTTGTTGCGTTCAATATGGTAAATGAGAAAATCACGGTGTATCACATGACAACACTGACAAAGATAAACAAAAAATCTTTTGCCTCAAATAATATTTTTCTAATGAAGTTATTAAACATCAAGATGGTAGAAGGCAGCTCATTGGCAGCACATTTGAACAATTTCAATACTGTAACAAGCCAAGTGCGTTTAGTAGGGGTCAAGTTTGATGATGAGGCAAGAACACTGGTGATGCTGATTTCATTATCACACAGTTGTGATAGTTTGGTCATGGCGGTGATTGACTCTTCTGGAAATACAAAGTTAAACTTCGATGACATCATAGGGTTGATGCTGAATGAAGAAGTTTGCAGAAAAACAATGAATGGTGAATTTTTAGGTTCTGCGTAGAAAACGAAAACAGAGGAAAGTTTTAAACAGGAATACAGACAGAGACAAATTCAAGTCTACACGAGACAAATCTATGTCAAGTAGACGAAATGGCAAAAAAGAATGAACTTGTAGAAAGAAATGACATTTCAAAAAAAACTATAAAGCTCCAAGGAAAGCTGATAGTCGAGAAAAGGAAAGAAATCTCTCTACAGATATTTCCATTAAAAAAATCCAAAATGACTCCATTGTGTTATCCTTAGTAAGCATTGAATCTTGGATAATAGATTACCCTCTTTTCACACATGCCCCAATAAAGTGGCATTCAAAATTTACACTCAAGAGTGATCCAAGAGAGATTTAACTGGGAGCAAGCAATATAAAGAGTGATGTGAATATCAAATTGTCAAGTATAACTATCTGGAAGCTTACTAAAGTTAGACATGTTTCAAGTCTGAAGATAAATCTTATCTTTATGAGACAGCTAGTAAAGTTAGGGTTCGTGACTACTTTCACATGTGATTCGTGGAAGGTGACTAGGGGCAATGATGATGGCTCGAGGCATGGTTATGGCTCGAGGCAATATTGAAGACTCTAACCTGATCAATGAAATGACGGATTTCATTATGACAGATTTCATTAATGTGATTTGAACTAGGGTGGATGCGGGTATGCGGAACCATAGGCTTAGTCATATGAGCGATAAATGTATCAAATCATTACTTTCAAAGAATAAGCTTCAAAGTTCGAATCAGTAGATCTGGATTTCTATGAAGATTGTAAAGTTCGAATCAGTAGATCTGGATTTCTATGAAGACTGTATATATGACAAACAAAAAATTTTTTTTTTTTCTAAATGTAAGTCAATGGTTAGATTAGAGAAACTAGAGTTAATGAATACTGATGTATGAGTTTCTACTCCAATTCAGTTCATTGAAGATTCTCACAACTTTTGTCACGTTTATTTACGATCTCACAAGAACAGTATTGGTTGATTTCTTAAAGCAAATATATGGTGTATTTGAAATATTTAAGAAGTTGAAGATTATGATAGAAAATGGGGCATGCTTGCAGCTGAAGTTTCTCAAATCAGATAATGAGGACGAGTATCATGATCAAAAGTTCAAAAATTTGTGTTGTAAAGGAGGTCAAGCATGATTTCACTATCACAAAGACACCGCGATAGAATGTTGTGGCTGAGCGCATGAATAGAACAATTACGGAGCATGCTAGAAGCATAAGACTGCATGCATGCTTGCCAAAATATTTTTAGGCTGAAGCAGTAAAAACCGCCATTTATTTGATTAAAAGTGATCCATCGCTGCCTTTAGAGGAAGACTTACATGAAGAAACCTAAAGTGATAATGAGGTAAATCTATCTCATTTAAAAGTATTTGGTTGTTCTACATTTGTGCATGTCAATGCAAGATTTAGGAGTAAGCTCAACTCAAAACTTGTAAAGTGCACTTTCAATGAATATAACTCAAATGAGTTTGGGTATAAGTTTTGGGACTACAAGAATCAGAAATTCATTAAGAGCATGGGTGTCAATTTCAATGAAATGGAGATGTACAAGAACATGATCAGAACACAGGATAACCCGTCAGTTACTTTTGAAAAGTCCAAATATGTTGAGCTAGATGACATTGGTGATCAGAATAAAGGAGAAAGAAAAAGTGTTAAACCAAATAGAACACTAGAAGTTCCTCGGTCACCTGCTACTAAAGTCAGAAGTCCAGCAAAGTGATATAACCGGTTTTGTTATACAATTTTTTGCTAACTGACGTGGTGAACCAGGCTTTGAGAAGGTCACTCAAATTAAGGATTCAAGGAAGTGGGAGTTTGTTATGAAAGATGAAATGCGGTCATTAAAATCAAATCGAACATGGGCTTTGACGGTATCACCAAATGACAAAATTATTACACAAGTGAGTCTACAAGCTGAAAGAGGAGTAAGATAGTAACAGGTGTTATAAGACAAGACTTGTTGTGAAGAGATTCTAGCACAAGCAAGAAGTGAACTATACAGATTTTCTCCGTTGGTGAAGATGATAACTGTCAGGGTTGTGCTAAGTCTGGTAGCAAAGAAAAATCTACATCTGGAGCAGATGAACAACTTTCTTATATGGAGATCTGGATAAGAAAATATACATCGTACATCCGCAGGGTTACAAGGTTACAGGGAAAGAAGGTCTGATATATAGGTTGAAAAATCCTTCATGGCTTAAAGCAGACTCTCAGGCAGTGGTAAAGAAGGTTTGACATGTTCATGTCAAACAGTGGGTACATGAAATGTCAGACAAACCACTGTTGTTTAAACACTTTGATAGTTGTCATAAGATGACGTGTTGATGACAGGAAAAAAATATAGGGAAAATCAAGAATTTAATATGAGCAGTTATCAAATGAGTTTGAAATGAAGAATTTAGATAAAACAAAAAATATTCTCGTGTTGAGAATCAACAGGGATATGAGTGCAAATACACTGAAGTTATCTCAGACAAATTATGTTGAGACAATCCTATAGAAGTTCAACATTAGCAACTCACGGTCAGTTTGCACCCCCTTAGGTATACTTCAAGTTATTGAAAGAGTTATTGTCTAACTCTGAAGCAGAACAAACACAAATCAAAACTCTGTATGCTTCAGAAGTTGGAAGTTTAATGTATGTTATGATTTATATTATACAAAATATTGCATATGTAGTGAGAGTGGTCAGAAGATACATGAGCAATTCATGCAGACATCATTGGGAGGTGAAGTAGATTCTCAGCTATTTCAGGGGAACAATCAACAGAGCATTTTGCTATTAAAGTGTAGGGATTAATCTATAGAGATTTGTAGATTCAGATCTGACGGGAGATGTGAATGATAGAAGTACAATTCGACATTTTTGCACTTTGGGGAACACAACAGTAAGTTGGGTTTTCAAGTTGCAAAAAATTATTGCACTTTCAACTACGGGAGCCGAATATATTGCTATCGTTAAGGCTAGCAAAGAGTTGATTAGGCTGCAGGGCTTTATGGCAGAATTGGACAAGAAATAAGGGATTGAAAAGTTTCATAGTAACAGTATGAATGCAATTCATCTTGCTAAATAAACTCATTTTCATGTTAGGACAAGCATATTCGGCTGAAGTATCACTTTATATGCTCTCCTATAAGAGGGGTATTTGTTCTTGGAGAAAATACACAACTCAAAATCCTACAGATATATTGACAAAAGTAGTGACTATCGCGGTTGGAGCTACATTTGGCTTTAGTTGGAGTCCATGAAGGTTGAGACCGGGTGTGAGCCACACCACGGTACGTGATTATGAAGATGGTATAGATGGAGGTGCAGATTTACTGGACAAGTGTGTTGGGTAATATTAATCTGTGGGAGATTGTTATGTTGTGGAGTCTAAAAAACCCACAGTCGAAGCATCCATGCCCTCAGGACATTGGCGCGACGTGCTCTCGCCCATAGGGGGCATGCCGGCACCGCATGTTTGTGGCACCACTGCGCTCAATTTCAAGAGCCTAGGCGCCCAGTTGCAGAGCATTAGACATACTCGCGCCTGAATGATTCCTCAGTTTAGTTCAGTTTAAAGCCTCGCATTCGAGCCACGGAAGTAATTCTCTCTCGCATGCGTTTTTTTGATAAGGCTTCTGTGAAGTGAATAAGGATCAAAGAGAAGAATTTAAGCTTGTGTTTCTCTTGTGGGATCGAGAGGAAGGGTTTGAAGAGAAGTCTTGTAAATTCCCTCGATTTTAGAGATGAGATTTGAGTGATTATTTTGTAGTTGTCCTAATTTCATAATGAAAATTTTTTGGCGGTGTGGCTCCGTGGTTTTTTTCTGTTCTTGAGTTATGTTTTCTTTTCTGGAATTTTTTTACATGTGCTTCTGCTCGATTTTCATTATTTCAGATTTCTCGAATCAGTGTGATCCTATTTTATAGTGCGGTTTCGATTTATAATTGATCGATGCCCTTGTAGAAGAGAAGGATAAAAATTTCCATCA